CATCACAGTAAAACCACCAGCACTAATGTTCTTTCTTATTTAATGCTTTGGCTAAAAATGTTCAGTTTCTTTGCCCAAGGTCTCCTCCTCCTGACCAGCTCCCTCATGCGAGACCTGCCCACTGACTCCATCCCCTAGGGAACAGTCCACAAACAGCAGCTTTTGGGCAGGACCAGCTTGTCTCTGGGGTCCCCACTCAAAGCCCCACAGTTTAACATGACCTCTCCTCTCTGGCTTCCAAGATTACACAAATGCAGGCTTGCTCTTGAAGACTCACAGCTGTTGCCATGTGGAACTTCACCCAACCACTACCAGCCTGAGGACCAGGTAAGACCATGGGGCCCACCTTTCTCTCCAGAGTCTACTCCAGATGGTTCCTTGCTTCTTTCTGGCCTCTCAGGGTCTTGTCAAGCATGTGATGGTCTAAGCACTGGGCAGCACGTCATGCCCAGTTTTCTAGCATCTCCTCTTCCTGTAGTTTTGCCATCCTGATCACTGGCAAAATCCAGACCAGTTCATGGTTTCTCCAGTGTTTCAAGACTTTTTGGTGAACCTTATTCACCAAAATAGGTACTGAGTGTGGTCTAGAACCTTCTTACCTCAACCCCGGGCCACTACGGTGAGGACACTGCTCCACACATCTATTGTGGCTAGGGTCCCAGGACCAGTAAGAGGCTGGCCCAGTACCACTTGCACACCTCCTGGGCCCCAGTCCCTGGTTAGCCTGGTCTGGGCAGCCTCAGACCTAAAAGGGGCCCCACAGGCTGGGGCCGGGGACTGGCTCTCCCTGCCTATTCAGGAGGATACACACGGGAGCACTTCTCAGTTGCTCTATCAGGAAGACCCTGAGAAGAGTGTCTGCCTTTGAGCCTTCATCCCAAAGCTGGCACCTTCTTCTCCGTATCTGCTACTCTCCTCGTCCCCCCCCCCGCCCCCCAGCAGCACTCAGTGGGTGATGGGGGCCTGAGGCCGAGGAAAGCCTCAGGCTACGTCCACCCATCCCCCTGAGGGGCCTCCCCTCTGTCCTGGAACCTGGAGGACCTGTGCCATCTCGGGACCACACTCTGGTGGAGAATACCCGTCACCCTACATTCTAGTAAGGAATCATCCCCTACAACTTCAACTCCCAATTTCACTGCAGACAATGCCTCACTTTCAACTGTCTCTTGGCCCTTCCAGGGATCATGTGGCCCCCCCTACCATGTGTTCTGACCTCCAGGTCCCAGCACAGGGTCCCTTCCATCCTCTCAGTCTCACCTCCAGAAACTTTTCTCATAGAATACTGGTTTTCAATATAATAAAGATTTTATCTTTTTTAATGTTCTGGACATACCATAACTGTAATGCATATCAAGTCAACATTTTGAGGGAAAACACAGCATCTTGTTCCTAAAGTTCAAAAAAAATCAAGAACTATGAGAGGAGAAGCGGGAAGGGGACCCACCATTCCAGCTACTACTCTGCCGCCGGCACAATTCTATCAGGTCACTGTTATGTTTACAAGGGTTAACAATAAACCAAGTGGACTCAAAATAGTAATGTCTGACAATAGGCACCTCTAGAGAATCCAAGCCCCAAACATAAATTCACAGGCTCTGACAATTTTCTTAACATAACTTTATGTTTTTTAAACCATTTTACATTTAGAGAAAAGTGGTGCATACAGAGTGGTCCCATATACTCCACCCACCACACTTCCCCTCTTCAACACCTTACAGTGACACAAGGAACCACTGGAGGTAGCAAACTAATAGCAAAAGTTCATACTTTATTCTGACGTCCTTAATCTCTGCTCAAAGTGCTTTTTCTTTACAGGATCCCACCCAAGGCACCACATGGCCTGGGTCATCACATCTCCTAGGCATCTCTTAGGTGGGGCATTTTCCAAAAGGTCCTTGATTACACAGATGACCTTGACACTTCAGTTCCTTTTTTGTCAATACTCTGGGGTTCTGGCTTTGAGAAGGTGCTGTGCCCTTGACCTCAAGTCAATGGTGTGTGTGATCAAAAGGACTCATCATGGTGACCTTCATCACAAGCTGAGGTCTGGCTTCCCATTCCGGCTCCTCGAAGGTGAAGACTGACATAATTTATCCGGAATTCCTCTATACCAGAGGCGTCTCTTTTTTTAAACTCAGAGTTGACAATTTTACTTTCACATGTCACAACATAAACAAGTGCCTTTTCAATCCTGTGCCCATTATTCCACCCTAAAACTAATCTCTCTGTGACAGAAAAGGGGAGCAAGTCCTTCCTCGTCATGTTGTTCCCTCCTAGGAAGAAGTAAAAGGAACAGAAAACTACAGCGTAGCACAAAGAAGCTGCCCTCTGGCCTTGGCTGTCTGGCACCACCATGGGACAGGCAGAGGCCCTGACCACGGGGGCCCAGGTGTCACAGGCATGTGGCCTCCCTTGGGTAGTCTCTTTCCAGGAAGAAAAGGACCCATGATTGGCATCATATGAGCCCCCTGCCCCCATATGGGGTGCTGTCCCATACGGGGTGCTGGCATCACACAAGGGCTAGGAGGGCCCGGAAGACTGGGTGGAGGTGGGATCATGGTACCTGCTGGAGGAGGAGTGGATAAGAGATACAGAGGCATTTTTCCTTGGTGAAATGCAGCCACTGCTTTGTCCCTTGGGCTCTGAGCCCACTCTCCCATCCACTTCTGACAGCAGTGTTTCACATTCTCTTCGTGTTTCCTGCCTCTGCAACATGTATTTCTCACACACGGCGAGTCACAGGTGAGGTAAGTGTTGTCGTCGTCACAATAAAACTTGAGCATGTTGATCCACAGGCCACTGGTAGCACCCCAGAGATGGCTCCTTTCCCCGTTTTATTCCCATCATGAGGACATGCGGTTATTTTGTATTTTGGCTTATAATTCAGTAAGATTCTGTTATGTTGTTCAGACCTTTCCTGTTTTGGTTACTGTATTCTTTATACAACCATCACTGTTGGGGTAAAGACAGTATGTATTTTAAAATCAAGATTTTATCAAAGTAATATAAAAATTCAAAACAACTCAAACTTAATGCTATTGAGTTGGACAGACAGACTCACAGCTGACCCTCCAGCTGGTTTTCAGAGGCTGTGAATACACAAGTGCTTACTACTCATTTTTCCCCCTCAGAGGAGCTCATGGATTCAAACTGCCTGCCTTTGGATTGGTATACAACTCCTCATCCTGTAGAGCCCCCTACTATCCCTACAAAATGTCAAAGAGATCCACGGAACTTACAAAGAAAAGCAAGAACCTCCTTTCGATCTCACCTGATAAATCTTCCAACTCGGATCTCTCTTCCGAGAAGCTTTAACTGTCGGGTTTTGACTTCACAAGTGTAAAACCACATTGCCAACAAACAGCCTATCACAGAATTCTTACTACATCCAACACACTCCCACAAAATCATCAATTTCAACTTAATCTGTTAAAACAGCCCAACCAACCAATGTGACATGCAGTACCAAGCCTTCCATTCCATTCCTGTACAACTTGATTCCTGATTTAATAAGTCATTCCCCTTGCTTTTCCATTTGCTGCGTTTTCTATGTGTTCACCCTCCATCTCCCACAAGGCTCCCAGCTGCACAGCTCCTGGAGGTAATCCCTTCCTCTGGGAGACGTCACTGGTCGACCTCCCAGCCCCAACTACCTGCTTGCCTGATGGACTGAAGCCTCTGCCCCCATGTGCTTCCTGATGAAATACCTTGAAGAGAAACACTGGGGTGTAACTATGCCACCTTCACACCTGAGGGCAGTTTAGCTGGGTAAAAAAACCCTCTTGTTCACACTTCTCGAGTTCAAATCCCACCTCCCAACTGCTGCTAAAAACACCACTTGCAACCTGATTCCTGATGCTTTTAGTCTCTAAAATCATGTACAGTATTTTCTTCTATGTAATGAAACATAAAAAAATCAGCCTTAAAGTAGGCTCCTCGAATCTATAAATGCAAGCATTTCAATGCTGAGAGACTGTGTAATTCTCGGGTGATTTCTTCTTTCTACTGACAAGAATCTTGCTTTCTCTAACCCCTAATTGTGGCCTCTTGGAATGATTCTATAACTGATTCACCCCCTTTTTTTAATCCCCTAGTCTCTGTGGTTTGGAAGCAGGAGTGGCATCCACTTCCTAAACAACATGCCTCCAGAAACTCTATGAGCCCTGATAAATGTCAATGGCTGTAGAGGGCCTTCAGGCCTTTTGTTCACAGGGCCCTATGAGTCATGCTCAACTCAGAAGCAATTAACAACAACAGTCTCTTTTTTGAGTGTTTTTTGAGGCGTTTTTGTCATTTTGAGGAGACAGCCTCATCTTTATCTTCTAAATCTTTTAATAAATTTTTAATTTCTACTAACTCATTATTGGCTCATAGGCACATTCACATACAGTTTTTCCTTTTTTCTGAGGACACTATTGTTTTGTTTGGGTTTTCATTTTCTTTTATTTCCTTGTCTTCTCTTCTTTCGCCAGGATTTTCTTTTCTGCTCTTTTCTAATCTATTATTCACAGTTAAAGTCCTATCCTCTCAGGCCACAGTCCAATCAGAGCTGAGTCACAGGCCACAAGACCCTAAGTCTGACAAAGCACCCCAATTTCTGTATCTCTCGGTTCCTGCTGGTCCCAGAAATCCAAAGTCATACCACCCCAAAAGATCCCAAAGAATATACCAACTCTGGGGGTCTAAGCACTCAGCAATTTCAAAGTGTTGGGGTCTGGAGTAGCTGAGGTACTAGAGTAGCCTCCAGGGCTCACTACTGGGGTGCCAGGGAGGAAAGCACCAAGCCTAGGTGAACGACACTGGATGAAATCACCTCAGCTGACAGGTGGTAGCAGTCCAGGGCCAGCGCACACTCACAGGGTGTCTTGCAGGCCCAGGCACCCACCCCTGCCCTGGGAAATCAGATGGCAAGGAAGGTCTGCTTCACCTGCTGCTCAGGGCCAGTTCTGGGGTAGGAGCAGGGAAGGGAGTTAACGGCACTCGGGGGTGGGGGACTGTACCTTGTTGAGCTCCTCAATCCTCCGGATCAGGTACGGGTTGCTCGAGGAATTCTCGAAGTAGACGTAGTCTGCAAACAGAGATAGCATCACTGATGTGGCAGACACTGAACCTGGTCTCCCTCTGCCGCCCCCCAAAGGGCTATCAAGCGAGGGAGCCAACCCTGTGAGGCCAGTGCCCATGCAGTCCTTCCCTAGGAGCTCAGCAAGGGTAATGGAGGCACTGTCCTCACATCACACATACTGAGAAAGGACAATGTCACGTGAGGACCAGACAGGCAACAAGAGGCAGGATGGCCATGCCCTGCAGGACTCCACCTGTACTGTGCTAACATCAGCACCCTCGAGCTGGACCCACAGGACGGGGCACCCCACACAATCTGTCTGGGACACCACCATCCAGCTGAACCCATGTGAGGGTGGCACCACACACTGAATGGAGCTCCCAGAGACCCCACCTGATATACTGTATCCAATTTCCTGGAAAAACCCAGAAGAGGAGTAGTGAGTGGCACAGTGCCCAGAGCTGTAAGGCCCGAGAGACCTCGTGAGACTACTGTGGAGGGGACACACTCCAGAGGTCCCACAAACAGAATCCAGCTCAATACATGGTAGTACATCCAACACATTCACATAGGGGTCACACCTGAGTCACCTGGCTGCTGCAGGAGTCTCCGGTCTGTGGTCAGCACACAGGTGGACATATACTTGCTCCCCCAGATTCTAAGGCAGCACAAGGACAATGATGGACCAAATACACTGAAGCCTGAATTAATAGTTGATGCATAGGGACACAGAGCCCAAGACACAAAGCCTGATGCTTTATGGGAAAGGCAGCCGCAGAACAGGCCATCATGGGACAGGACTTCTGAGCTTTGTGACATATCATAGAACAGGGCAAGGCTTTCAAAGTACTGTAAAACACAAAAATGCACTGGATCATATAACTCAGAATAGGTGAATCCCATAGGAGTCCTCAAGGAGTCCCAGGGAAAAGGTACAAGGCAATCATCTCACTTTTCCGTTTACAAAAACTAGATAAATTAAACACAAAATATTTACACTTGCCAAACTAGAAATAGTCTACTAAAACTTGAGGTGCAAAATGGATAGAGAGCTGGGACACTCCCTGTTCAGCACCTGAGTACAGACACCTGACACGTCAGCCAGGGGACACACCTCGGACAGCCCTCAGCAGCCACCCAGCACGGTGCAGGTGACATCTTAGCAGTCACCCAGGGGACAGACCAAAGCCAACCTTCAGCAGTCACCCAGTGTGACCACTAAAAGAGCCCTCAGGACTACTGGCAGACAATTTAGAAACAAAAACCAAAATTTAAAAATTATCAATAAAATAGGGAGCTCTGGTCGCCTCGTGGCAAGATGCTGCACTGCAATCCCAGAGCTAACAAGGTTCAAGTCCACCAGATGCTCTGCTGGAGAAGGAGGGGCAATCTTCTCCTGCACCAGTCAGATCTGATATGATGGTACACACAAAAATAGTAAATTTAAAAATTTTTTTCAAAGTTATCAATAAAATAATGGTTTTCTCACAAGAAAAACTGAGGGGCAAAACATTTGGGTGCTGCTGGGATATAGGGTCATGGACATGATGGGCCTGTGAACAACTTGTTTCTTATTAGCATTGTTGTGATGGACACATTACCACACACACAGATCAAAACTCAGATCTACGCACCTCAATGGGCAAATGTTCATGCACAGTCTTTAACACATGCAGTATTATAAATTATATCCTATCAGAATTAATGAGAAATTAAAGGAAGGAATTAATAAAGAGTAGAAACTGATCAAAAGAAAAAGAGACTATCTGAAAATCAAAGAGAGAGAGAGAGAGAGAGAGAGAGTGTATGTGTGTGTCTCCCGTCTTATTGGATCTGATTGGCACAGGAGGTTTACCCCTTCCTCTCCAGTGGAGCATCTGGTGGATTTGAACAGCATACCTTTCGGATTGCAGCGCAGCTTCTTGCCACTAAGCCACCAGAGCTCACTAAGAAGTTAAGTTTTTTAAAAGTTCATTAAGTTGACGAGGTCTGAAGGCCTAGTGGCAAGAAGCTGCACTGCAATCCCAGAGGTGTGCAGTTTGAATCCACCAGATGCTCTGCTGGAGAAGGAGGGACAATCTCCTCTCCTGTACCAGTCAGCCAGTCAGATCCGATTTGATGGTACACACACACACACACACACACACAAAATAATAAAATTTTTTAAAAAAAGTTCACTAAGTTAATAATTTTTAACCAGACAAGTAAATCAACTGAAAAAAAAAAGGAAAAAAGTTTCAAAAAAGCAGTATCAAGAGTAAGAGACTGTTATCACTATGAATCCTACAGATGACAGGTGGCAGAGGGGATGCTGGGAACAGCTTCTTGTTGTTGATTGTTGTTGAGTCGAGCACAACTCATAGCAACCCTGTGAACAAAAGGCCTGAAGCCTTTCAATAACTACCGTCAATTATCAAAGTTCATAGAGTTTCCAGAGGCATGTTGTTTAGGAAGTGGATGCCATTCCTGCGTCCAAATCTGTCTTAAACTGGGAGCTCCATCAGACACTTTCCACCACAGGTAACCATTATGGCATTTGACACCCCAATGGCACCCGGTTCAGCATCACAGCAATGCCAGGTTACCTCACTACAGAAAACTGACAGAAGAGTGCTGTACCACTTAGAACAATGTTCCTCCAAAATATATTAACAACTGACTTTTAAATACAGAGGTCCCCCATCAAGGTCTTGTTGACTCTAAAGAAGAGGCTTAAATAAAAACCAACCAATATAGTATGTTGTTATGTGTGAGTCACCTGCGATGTACAGCAGCTCTGAACCCTTCCCTGTCCTGAGCCAGTCTAATGCAAACACATTAATCCCCACTGCCCCAGAGAGGGTATCAATTCATCTCATTCAGGGTCTTCCTTTGCTGCACTGTACCTCCACCCTTCCATGCATGATGTCCTTCTCCAAGGACCAATCTCTCCTGGCCACATGCCCAAAGTATGTGAGACGGAGCTTAAAAATCCTAGCCTCCAAGGAGAAACTTGGTTTCACCTTCTCCAAAACAGACTTGTTTTCTTGACAGTATATTCAAGACTCTTCTCCAGCACCTCAACTCAAAGGCATCTATTCTTCCTCTGGCATCCTTAGTCATTGCCCAGCATAACACATAATTGAGAAGACAAAGGACTGGACTAAGTGCACCTTTGCCTCTAAGACTGACATCGTTGCTCTTCAATACTCTGGAGAGGTTCATGAAAGCAGATTTTCCCAATTCAATTACTCTTTTGATTTCCTGACTGTTGGTGTTAAGAGTGTTGATTGTGGAACCAAGCACGCTATAATTACTAATAACCTCAATCTCTTCTCCATCCATCATGGTGCTGTCAATTGGCACAGTGTTGAGATCTCTGTCTTCTTGATGTTGAGCTTTAATTCATATTGAAGACTATAGTCCTTGACCTTCTGCAGCAAGCGCTTCAGGTCTTCAGTTTCAGCAAGCATGGTTGTGTCATCACATAGCAGATTGCTGATGAGTCTTCCTCCAATCTTGACGCCACATTTCTCCCTCATAAAGCCCTGCTTCCCGAATGATCTGTTCTGCATACAGATTGAAAAGGTATGGGGACATGAAACCTTGATGTACTCCTTTCCTGATTCTGAACCATGCAATGTTTCCTTGCTGTTCTAAGGACTGCTTCTTGTCCAAGTTTACGTTTCGCATAAGCACAATCAAGTGATCTAAAGATTTCCATTTACCTCAAGGCTAGCCACAATTGGTTGTAATCCACACAACCTTTTGCAAATCCCTTTTTATAGTCAATCTGGTAGTTCTCTGTCAATGTACTGCTCCAGTCATTTCTGGATAATCTTCAGCAGGATTTTGCTAGTGTGTGATATTAGTGATTTTGTTTGGTAATTTCTACACTCTGTCAGGTCACCTTTTTTTGGAATGGGAATAATATGGATTTCTTCCAGTCAGCTGGCCAAGTAGTTGTCCTCCAGATTTCTTGGCAAAACTTAATAAGCACATGCAAGGCAGCATCTGTTTACTGAAATACCTTAATTGGTATTCCATCAATTCCTGGGGGCTTATTTTTTGCCAAGTCCTTCAGAGCAGCCTGCACTTCCTCCTCTATCATCACTGCCTCTTGCTCATGTTGTTTCTGGAAATTCTTCTGTGTCAGCCAATTCTTTTTTGGTACAGTGATTCTGTATACTCCTTCCATCTTCTTTTAATGCTTCCTGAATCATTCAGTATTCTGCCCATAGCATCCTTAAGCATTGCAACTTGTGGCTTAAATTTCTTCTGTAGTTCCTTCAGCTTAAGAAATGTTGAACAAGTTTGGTCCTTTTAAGACTTCAGCTCCTTGTACATTTCATTATATTTTGCCTTGTCTTCCCGAGCTGCCCTTTGAAATCTTCTATTCAGCTCCTTAATTTCTTCCCTTTGTTTTGGCTTCTCGGCACCCTACTGCAATAATCAGGGTCTCTTCTGACGTCCACTTTGGTCTTTACTTCTTCTTCCTTCTTTGTAATGACTTTTTGCATTCTTCGTGAACGATATTCTTGATCTGGTCTTTGTTTATTAGTGTTTAAGGCATCAAGGCTATTCCTGAATTGGTTTTTAAATTCATGGGGGATAGACTCAAGGTCAAATTTTGATTCCTGTGTATATGATTTAACCTTCTTAACTTTAATTTGAACTTGCATATGAGCAGTTGATAGTCTGTTCAACAATCAGCACCTAGTTTTCACTGCTGATATTGAACTTCCACAATGGTTCCTTCCACAGATGTAATCAATCTGATTCCTGTGCATCCCATCAGGTGAAATCCATGTGTATAGCCTGTGTTTGTGTTTCTAATAAAAGGTATTTGCTATGAATAAATCACTGATTGTACAGAATTCTATCATTCTATCCCCAGACTAATTTTTGTCAGCAAGTCCATTTTTCTGACTATTGATACTTCTTCCTGATTCCCAACTTTTGTATTCCAGCCACCCATTATTATTCTTTTTAATTTTATTTTTTGTGTGTGTGACATCAAAATGGATCTGACTAGTACAGGAGGACATTGTCCCGTCTCCAGCAGAGCATCTGGTGGATTCGAACCATGCACCTCTGGGATTGCAGTGCAGCTTCTTGCCAGTAGGCCACCAGAACTCACCAAGTTACCCATTATTATTAATGCATCTTGGTTATAAGTTCAATCAATTTCTGACTGTAACAGTTGATAGAAATCATCTATTTCCTCCTCTTTGGTTCTGGTTGTAGGCACATAAATTTGAATGATAGTGGTATTAACAGGTCTTCCGTGTATGCGTATGGATATTATCCTGTCACTCACAATATTGTATTTCAAGATGGATCTAAAAATGGTCCTTTTAACTATGAAAGTAACCCCAATTTTTTCTCAGATTTTCAACTCCAGAATAAGAGATCATCTTGTCATGGGATTAAAAATGTCCCATGCCAGTCCATCTCATTTCAGTAATAACAAATATGTCATTTATGTGTTCCATTTCTTTTCTTACAATGTATAGTTTTCTGACATGCATGACTCTCACATCCCACATACCAATGGTTAATTTCCTCTTACAACTGTTTCTCCTCTTTTTTGGCAGGCTCAGCTTCAGTTGCCGTATCTGTTAGTCAACTCTAAGTGTGCTCTGCTGTATGTAGGGTTT